GGGTGGCTCAGTTGGTTGAGCGACTGCCTTCGGCTCAGGTCATGATCCTGGAGTCCCTGGATCGAGTCCCGCATCGGGCTCCCTGCTCGGCGAGGAGCCTGCTTCTCCCTCTGACCCTCCCCCATCTCATGTACTCTCTCTCTCTCTCTCTCATTCTCTCTCTCTCAAATAAATAAATAAAATCTTTAAAAATAAATAAATAAAGAGAGAGAAAGGTTTAGGGAAATGCAGACTCTTCTTCATTGCAGGTGGAAATGCAAAATGGTCAATGCAGAGAAATCTGGCAACATCCATCAAAATTACAAAAGCATATGAGCCTCGGACTCAGCAGTTTGCTCCTGAGAATTCACCATGCAGATACACCTGCACACCCTTCCATGCAAAGTAATAGCAGAGGGGCCAAGATTATATACTGCAGTACACTGTTGGTAACCGCTCCCTTCCCCATAAGCATAAATAAGCCAGCATCCATCTCTGGGGCTGCTTAATACTAAACTATGATGCCTCTCGCATGTGGAATGCTAGGTAGCTCAGAAGAGAGACAGCTCCTTATGAACCAACCCGAGAAATCCCCCAGGATATACTGCTAAGTGAGAAATAAGCAAGATACATAACAGCATGTGTGGATTACTATTTTGTGTTTAAAAAGGGGGAAGATAAAGATATATACTGAAATTTTCTTGTGTTTGCATTAGGAAGCACCGAAAATGTATCCAAGCAATTCGTAACACTGGTTTTAAGCAGGGGCCAGGGAAGGGGTCAGATGGGGGGGGGGGGGGAGGGGGAAGCGGAGGGGAGACAGTGTTAAGGGGGATTTTTCATTGTTTTTTATCTTGGATACATGTGAATGTACTACCTGTTTGGAAAAAAAAAATTTTTTTTATTATAAACTTTTTAATATACATTTAGAGTCCCTGGCCTGGAGATCGACTTCCTTGAAGCACGTTGAGATTAAATGGAGTCATGGCTCGTAAAGAGCTCACTGAACAGTAGCAGCATTCCTCACCATCTCCAGCCTGCCTGCCTCAGAATCACCCTGAGCCTCCAAAAATCCAGATTCCGAGGGCGCCTGGGTAGCTCAGTTGGTTAAGCGTCCGACTCTTGATTTCAGCTCAAGGTCGTCCTCAGGGTCTTGAGATGGAGGCCTGCGTCAGGCTCCATGCTCAGCACAGAGTCTGCTTAAGTTTCTCTCTCCCTCTGCCCCTCACCTCTGTGCTCTCTTTCGAATAAATAAATAAAATCTTTAGAAAATTAAAATAAAATAAAATAAATAAAATGCAGGTTCCGGGACCCCGCCCCGGATGCGCCCAATCAGAATCCCTGGGGGGTGGTGCCCAAGGACCTGTATTTTTTTTTTTTAAGTTCCCAGGGGATCATATGGGCTGAAAGAGGAGGTCCATGACCTCCTGATGGGGCAGATGAGGGACATGTATTCAGTCCATATTTACTCAGCTCCCACTATGAGTCAGGCGCTGTTCCAGAACCTGCTTTCTTGGGGCTTATATTCTACAGGAAACACGCAAAGACCAACAAGAAAAGTATTAAATAGTAGCATATGGAATGCAAGTATCAAAACAGGTTGACCTGGCAGGACTAGGCAGACAGCTAGGCTGGAGAAGGGCTCTCTGAAGGAGGTGACATTTAACCTGAGATGGGGATGACAAGAAGGAACCCGCCCTGCAAGGGTGGGGGGCCTTCCGGGTCAAGGGAAGCTTAAGCGTGACCCAGAGCAGGATGGAGCCAGGGTGGTGGCGGGGTGGGGGGTGCATGAAGGAGGATCTGAGGGCCCGACTCGTTAGGGCTCTGGAAGCCAGGGTCCAGAGCATGGATTCTATACGGAAGGCACTGGAAAAGCCACAGAAAGGTTTCAAGCACCAAAGTCATGTGATGGGGTGTTTTGAAAAAAGACGACTCCGGCTGCCATGGGGGGAGTGGCTCAGTGGGAAGCAGGGCTGGGGGCGGGGAGGTGGGGGAGTTTGTTGCAGGAATCCAGGGACAGGGGGAAGATGGCTTGTGTGAAGGTGTGGCTCTGGACATGCCGAGACGTGGATGGCTACAGGCCAAGTTTGGAAGGTGGTGCCCGGGGGCTCCATCCTTACTGGAGTCCCAAGTGGACCATGGGCCTGGAAGGAACACCAGATGCCTGAGCAGCAGGTGCGTGGGCCCACGAGCCTTCGACTGAGGTGGGAAGGGCCCCAGAGAGGAGACCCTATATACGTACGCTGTCTGCTGAGAATGATATTCACTAGGACATGAAGCCAATTCCAAAAAAGGACCATTTAAAGCTGCCCCTTAAGCTCTTGAGAACAAGAAAAGGCTAAGTGGCTTCCATCTAGTTGAGGTGTGAAGAGCCAACAGAGGGCCGAGCGAACCAACGTGGCTGGGCTGAGGTCTGGACGAGGGTGGAGCCATGGGTCCCAGGAGTTGGGCAAGATCTAAGATGGAAGTGAGTGCCTTATACTAAATTTAGCCTCTAGAGGATTATTTTGTGGATTTCACAAAGGAGCCTCCGGCTGCCCCTGACCCCAGGCCTGCTGCATATAAAGCAGCCGACCCACATTCCTTCCCTGCTGGCCCGACTTCTGGTTCAGTGAGAGCTGCTGGGAGAGCTGGGTGGTGGAGGGAGGGGGACTGTCAGGGCCTGAGTCACCTCAGGCAAAGCAGAGTGTCACAGCAGGGCCTGAAGGAAGGGATGCAGGCAGGCAGGCAGGGGGGAAGCGACCTGCCCTGGCTCAGGCCTGGGACAGAAGCAGGTAGACCAGGTTAAGGCCGGACCCGCTGATCGGCTACATGACTTTGCACAAGGAGCTTCGCTCGGGGAACATCAATATTCTCATTTATAACGGGTGGATAGTCACCCGGTTCACAGGACGGTGGCAAAGATTTCGTGAGGAAATGAAAGAAATAAGAAGCGCCTAATACAGCGCCTGGCCCACAACAAGGGCTCGGTGAAAGGCAGTCGCCAGAACAGGGTGGAGGGCAACTCCAGACAGAAAACAGGACTGAGGCACACACACCACCAAGTGACAAGCCCCAATGGAGTGACAACCGTCATGGCCTTCGTGCCTCCAGCACGAGCGGAAAACTGCAACACGTATGAAAGCGTGGACAGAGTAGATATGAAAATCCTTGCAACTGTTGTTCCTATAAACACGTATCAGCTCTAGACAATGAGAACGAGAGAATGCACCATCCTAGGCACCCAGGGACACTCAGGAAAAGCAGCAATAGAGGAGGTCCCAAGGAATGCAGGTGTTCAAGCCCCACCTCAGACCTACTGAATCAGAAATTCTGGACGTGGAGTCCTGTAATCTAAATGTTGTATGGGGGAGGGAGGCGCAGAGAGAATCCTAAGCAGGCTCCATGCCCAGCGAGGAGCCCAATGGGGGGCTCGATCCCACGACCCTGAGATTATGACCCCAGCTGAAATCAGGAGTCGGACACTTGACTGAGCCACCCAGGTGCCCCTCCAGTAATCTATTTCTTAACAAATCTTCCAGATGATTCTGAGGCACACTGCAGTTTAAGAGCCACTGATTTAAGTGGCCTGGCAGTGGCGTGCCAGGTGTTAACTGTGGAGCTTGTAAGAAATGCAGAGTCCCAGGCTCAGCCCAGACCCACTGAGCCAGGATTTCCATTTTATCAAGATCCCCAGGGCGTTCATCTGTGTGTGTGTGAGCAGCTCTGTCTAGAGCTCTAGCCCAACGCTGTCTAACAGAAATGTAATTGAGCCACACGTCATTTAAAAATTTCTAGTAGGGGCGCCTGGGTGGCTCAGTCGTTAAGCGTCTGCCTTCGGCTCCGGTCATGATCCCGGGGTCCTGGGATCAAGCCCCCCATCGGGCTCCCTGCTCCATGGGAAGCCTGCTTCTCCCTCTCCCACTCACCTGCTTATGTTCCCTCTCTCGCTGTGTCTCTGTCAAATAAATAAATAAAATCTTTATAAATAAATAAATAAATAAATAAAAATTTCTAGTAGCCACATTAAAAAAAATAACAGTGAAATTAATTTTAATAATATATTTTATGTAACCCAATATCCAAATATTATTGTTTCAACAGGTATTAGGAATTTTTTTGAGGGGGGTACTAAGTCTTTCAAATGTGATGCTTCATACTTTACACATCTCATTTAATTAGCCACCTCTCAAGTGCTCAAAGGTCCCCCGTGGCTAGTGGATGCCTTGTGAACAATATGGAGAACAGAGTAAAATTTCCAAATTCTTTTTACGAAGCCATCATCATTTTTACACTGATATTTCTTTCTAATTTTGTGCTGTCATACGACAGACCCATTTAATATTGTGGTTAAAATGAGGACTCTAGAGCCAGACTCTCTCTAACCCTAACCCTAACCCCTAACCCTAACCCTTAACCCCTAACCCTAACCCTAACTCTGGACTCTGGGGTCAGACTCTCTGGCCTCTCACCTTAGCTTCAATAAGGAAATTCAGTTAAGTTTGTGGGTCATGAAATTAAGACATGAAAATCCCTATTTATAAACAGTAAACATTTCAAGAAAAGATCTCATTTCTAATAGCAACTACATAAAAAATAAAATCTGGGGGAGAAGAGTCAATGAGATACTGTGCAGGACCTTTGCTGAATGAAACATGAAAGCTCTCTTCCAGAGGAACAAGAAAAAGAAGTCAACTGAAAGATGCACTGTGCTCATGGAAATACTCAAAATGGTAAGGATGTTAATCCCCCCTAATTTCAGTGTAATCTCAAATGAATTATCAGTAGGATCTTTGCACCAACCATGTGAAAGGTTCTGTCCTAAATGCTTGGGATATATCTAAATTAAAAAAAAAAAAAAAAATCTGTGCTTAGTAGATAACCTCCCAGTAAGGTCTTTAAGGTTTGTAAATATTAGGGCTGGAGCGTGAATGTATGTGTATTTTTTGTTTTGTTTTACCAAGGAAGAATTACACAAAACCCTCATAAGGATTGCCTATGGGGAGAACACCTGGGGTAAACTGCAACTTTCTTTTTTTACCTTTGTATACCATTTAAATTTTTAAATGTTTACAAATACTTTATAAAATGCCAATGTTTATCTGAGCAATGAGTAAGACATGAGTAAGACATTTTAAAATGTGTGTATTTAAAAAAATCGTAACGATGATGATTGGTGAATCTGGATCAAGGCTCTATCCTTCCTCTGCTGCCCTGAGACATTCCAGCTCTTTCTAGGCGCATCTCTCTGGGCACGTTTGGTTCCTCATATGGAACACCAAGGCATTAGATTCGCTCTCTAAGGGTCTGTGCAGTTCTAATATTGCTCGATTCTTTCTTCCATTCAGGCATTCAGCTGGTTTTGGAGGGCCTACAATGTTACAGGTGCAAAGGATCTAAGTGTGCCAATGACTAGCCTCAGGGACCTTAGAGTCTAGCTGGAAGGCTGATATTTAAGCAAATGATCCCATAAGAAAATGCACAAGTGCATTGCAGTAAGCGCTATGGAGGAGGAGCGGAGCAGGACAGGGGAGATCAGCAGGTCTGAAGGCAGGAGGTGGGGCGGGTGGGGGGGAGGGAGGAGAGTCTGGGTGAGCTGAGCAGCATGAGCAGGTGTTAATGGGGGTTTACAGGGAGGGGGAGGATGGAAACAGTCATTAAGAGGAGGAGAACAGCGAACACCTACAGTAGGACTGCCAAGCAGCTTTGAGGAGTCTAGAAAGGCACACAGCATTAAGGGGCATTCAACTGATTATTTGCCTAATGAATTGAAGAAACGTCATACAGCTAGGGTAATTTTTTAAATTATATTTTGCTTCTCTTTGGAATGCCCTTAGAAGAACGCACTCCCTAAGATCTGCGTCATTAAGCAGACATCGGCACTTCAGATATATAATCTGTGATCCACATCTCTGAGCTAACCCTCAGTCAACTTTGTGGAACCCCAGGGATAAAGAAAAGCCGCCAACTATTCCACAAGCCAGGTACAGTACTCCGGGGCAAGCGACAGTCACCAGTGTGCCCCAGGAACCCATGGGGTGTATCTGAGTGCCGAAGCACCTGTGAAATGTAATATTTCAACCCGCATCGCAAAAGAAGCGAAGAACCTGGGAAGAACTCAAAACAGTAATAATAGTGGGGGGGCAACAAAATCATTTGGTTTCTCAGATGTTCACGAATTACAGTGTAAATACCGAGTAAACTAACAAAGGCAGCATGGGGGAATAAAGAAAAAAAAAAAAAAAAGGCAGTAAGCAAAACCTGCCTTCCAGTTACATGGAAAAACACTCTAGTGCCCCAAGTAAATAAATAATAAAAGGATATGGAAACAATACACCTTGAAAACTCTCGCCCCGCCTCTGTTCTCCTGGCCAGAAGCAGTGCTGACAGGTTTGCGCTGCTCGGGCTACATAGCCCGCTAGCATTTATTTATCTAACAACACCCGAGTCCCCTTTAACGAAATCAGGTAGGGCATTTCAACGACCTGAAGCCGGTGGGTTAGTGCATCCCATTATTTTACTCCAACCTCCAGCATGAGCTCCTAAGACAAAGTACCCTGGCCCCTGGACTAGATAAATGCTAGAAATAAGGGGTGCTCAGATCACACCATTTTCCTCCCTCCCACCCCCCCACCGTAGAAAGGCTCTTGAGACTATATGCCCACAAGGAAAAATAAAACAATGCATAGCCATTCTCACCACGCCTAGCCCTGGTTTTTGAAAACACCTCAATTCCTATCCGTTTCACAATGATACAGCCTTAACTTGGCCTGCTCACACATTTTCGTGTTATTTCTTAAACACATGCTATGCTACCAGCGCAAGCAAACTGGGCAACCACTAGGGACGGAACAGAACATGAATAAAAACAAGGCGAAAAGAAACAAAAAGGAAAAAGGAAGGTGGAAATAATAATCCAGGATCACGGAATTTTAGAGCTGGAGGCGGCTTTGGGGAATAAAAACCAGGCTCCAGGACTTGCACCAGGGCAGACAACTGGTAGCAAAGAAGGATCTAGAAGGGTCTAGAAAAGTCTAGGAAGGTAAAACGCTGACTAGCTGTCATTTCTGCAGTAGGCCTGGAAGCACTTCTTAAGGCAGTATTGCGCTCCTCACTGCACGGCCTCATGCCGTAGTGTGTCAGGGCTGCTGAGAAAATCGAGAGCAATCTCCGGCCTAGGGCAGTGGGCTGGCCTCCATAGCAGCTGTCAGACCCAGCTCCCCGGGGAGCAGAACCGCCAAAGAAAGGATTTCTAGGGATCAAGCCGCTTTTGCTCGGAGGTTCATTTTTCATAGAACGTGTCCTAGAATTTGGTAATACTTGATGTAACACGATTTTACTCCCCTTCATTCTTCTGTGAAAGCACAGAGAGGTTCACTATTATCCCATTTTACAGATAAGAAAGCCGAAGGTTAGTTTTGTTTTTCACAGACGGTGCACTGCCAACGACTTGGCGACCACGACTGCCTTTCTGTGGTCAGAGCAACATCCCACGGGTAGCAAGTTATCACTAACAAAGCAGCAACAGAACCCAGAAAACCCTAATTTCTAGCCCACGGCACCAATCTGCAGATGAAGAATCGTCAAAGTGCGATCACGAGGACGCCTATAAAAATGCTTAAAAAAGGCAGTGACACATCATATCACCGTAGCACTGAAAAGAAAAAAACAGCAACATCCACAAACCCTGAGAATCTGAAACCCTCTATGGAGGCGGCAAGATCAAGCAGTCGGCCCTGGGTCTGTGTCCTGGTCATGACCTGGCCTGTCTGGACTGTTTTCCTCATCTACCCGCTCCGCATTCTGTTTCAATCAAATGAGAACATTGGTTAAACAACACATTTTCAGTTGCACCAAAACTAGGGGTCGTTATTTTAAAACACCCAAATAAATTATGGCAAATCCCTGTGGTATAACATTATAGTAGAACAGTCAACGGTGAGATCCAAAGTATAAAATATGAAGAGAGGGGCGCCTGGGTGGCTCAGTCAATCAAGAGCGTCTGACTCTTGATTTCAGCTCAGGTCATGATCTCAGGGTCATGAGATCGAGCCCCGAGTTGGGCTCCGCGCTGGGCATGGAGCTAGCTTCAGATTCTCTCTCTGCCTCTCCCCCTCATAAATAAAAATACGTTACGGGACTCCACCCCCACCTCCAGAATTTCTGATTCGGTCTGAGGTGGGGTCTGAACATTTGCATTTTCATGTGTGAAGTGAGTGCTGTTTCTATCTTTGGGTATTTGCAGATTTCTTGGGACATCCTCTATTGCTGCTTTTCCTGAGTGCTGGGCATGGAGGCTGCTTGGGATTCTCTCTTCCCCTCTCCCTCTGCTCCTACTCCGCTCATGCTCTTGCTCTCTCAAATAATCTTTAAAAAAAGATATGAAGAGAAAAGCATGTTATAAAATATGTATAACATGATGTCACCACTATCCATATATGCATGCATAAATATGTGTAGGAAAAAACTGGACGTATCTACTGCAAATACAACATAACATCCCAGCGGCATTCTCTGAGTGGTGTAATTACTGGTGATTTGTATTTCCTTTTTCATGCTTTTCTAAGATCCATCTGTATTTTCCAGTGATTATGTACCAGATTTGTAACAATTAAAAAAATAAATGACTTTAAGACTTTAAACTATCCTCATACACACACTTTTGGTGGGAATGGGAATGGGAATAATTCCTTGGAGAGGTGATGTGGGCATATCTGTACAAGTTTACATTGAATACTCTTTGACCCAGCATTTCAACGTGTAATTATCCCACTCTCACAAGTGCACAAAGAAGTAGAAAAAAGGACCATCACTGCAGCTTGTTTGTAATAGCAAAAGACTAGAAAACTTAAATGTCCATCAATAGGGAAACACTAGTAAATCAGGGCACCTCTATTCAAGCAAATACAGCCCAGTAGAGAAACTCAGTTATGGACTGACACCAAACTATCTCTAAGATACATGAGTAGGCGAGAAAAGCAAGGTGCAGGATATCTGCTATCATTTGTGTAAACCTGCTTTTCAAAATAAATTCATATTCGGTGGTACATGTACAGGATGTCTCCAGAAGGTGCCCCCAAAATGATAATAATGTTGCCACAAGAGAGGGAAAGCGAGGGAACAGGAAAGAGGAAACCAGACGAGAGGGAAACTTCTTGTCATTGGATAGCCTTCCGTCTGTACTTCGAATCTTTTACAAACACAAAACCAAACAAAGAACCTTAAAACGTAAAAGCCTGGGGGGAAACGGCATCAATTATTTTTCTAAAAGTTTTAGTACCTTATGCCAGAGTCCTCTTCATTTTGAAGGCAGCCCCCTAAAAAACACTGCCTCCAGCGGAAAAAAAAAACTACTTGAGGGACCCCACGTGCCGCTGCCGACCCGGTGCCCTCAGGTGACTTCTAGGACCAGGTTTGAACACGTACGGGTTCAGCCAAAGCAAGAGCACTGTGTCCTTTGACAACAATTCCAATTCTCACTTGTATGCAGTAAATAAGAAATAGTTTACCTTTCAGCAAAGGTATCGAGTTTCCCCAGCTCATCGGAGAGGCCAACAAGGGAATCCAAGGTCCCCACCTAGAAAGATCGTGAAGAAGTTAGAGGCTCACACTTTATGGCAGAGAAGTGTAGGTCACTTTCAACAACAGTGCAGGGAGTTCTCTAACCTCCATCTCTCCTTAGTTATTCTTTTCAATGGCCAAACTGGAAAATGGAAAGAGCTGTTAAGAGAGTGGATTGGGGATATTTTCTAATTTTTTTATTATTATTATTATTATTATTATTATCATCATCATCATTTTTCCCAACAGGATAAACTGTCCTACTTCTGCCATAGGAAGGAGTGACCACTGTGTCATTTTGAGACCCCAGCTCATTTTCTTCTTAGAATGGCAGTCTGCCAGTCATGTGAGTAATCCCCATAGCTGAGGAGACGTACCAGAAAGCAAGTTAAAGAAGCTGCCATTTCTGGGGCACCTGGGTGGCTCAGTCAGTTAAACATCTGCTTTTGGCTCAGGTCATGATTCTAGGGTCCCGGGATGAGCCCCACACGGGGCTCCCTGCTCAGCAAGGAGCCAAGGAGCCTGCTTCTCCCTCTCCTTCCGTCCCTCCCTCCCCCTCTACTCCATCCCCTCCTCTCCCCCCTCCCCAAATAAAATCATAAAAAAAAAAAAAAAAAAGAAATTGCTGTTTCTAAAGCCTTTCTCCCCCAAGATGTCCAACAATCCCTGTCTCTGTTCTCCTTTGCTATTACTACCAATGATCTTGCAGGTGCAGAGGGTCAGCTCTCCCTCCCACCTCATCATTCACGCACGTCTTTTTCTTTTCAGATTACTTGTACCGATCCGCTTCTTAATGTGACAAGTATGACAGGGTCCAAAACTGTATTTAAAGAGCCAGTCTACAGAATCAGAAGGAAAGGCTTTGTTTTCATGTCACCAACCACCAATCAGACATTAAAAAGTAATCAGGATTAACAGTGTGTGTCAACTATACTCTCACAAAAGAATACTTTTAAAAAAAAAATACTTTAAGAAAGTAATTAGGGGGGGCGCCTGGGTGGCTCAGTCATTAAGCGTCTGCCTTCAGCTCAGGTCATGATCCCAGGGTCCTGGGATCGAGCCCCGCATGGGGCTCCCTGCTCCGCGGGAAGCCTGCTTCTCCCTCTCCCACTCCCACTCCTCCTGCTTGTGTTCCCTCTATCGCTGTGTCTCTGTCAAATAAGTAAGTAAAACCTTAAAAAAAAAAAAAAAGGTAATTAGGAAATGATGAGGCCCAGTTATCTCTAATAAGTTGCTTCTTTTCAAGTAACTTGATGTTACGCATCTTCTGGCGAGGGTCCTGTCTCTTCTTTTTGCTCCCTCCCATCTAACAAGCTGCCTTGCACAGAGTGGTGAGTGCACACTGATTCCCTAACCCTCACAGCCGGGGTCACCAGACAAACAGGGGCAGGTTTGAAACAGGCAGCAACATATGGGTTCAGAAACTTACCAGATCTGCAGCCCTGGTCTCCTTTCTCCGCCCTTCCTGATCTATCACATGGGATTGGTAAGTATTCCAGATGATGCGTTTGAAGGGCCTGGCCCCCAAAGTACTGCTCAATGAACACTAGCAAATACAGTAGCATCACTAAGAAGATTATATGGCAGTTTGCTACAAGAGGGGCCTCTGGGCGGTTGGGTGGGGCCATCCCTTCAGCACCCACAATGCATCTGCACAGGTGTCATCGAAAAATGCCTCAAGCGTCTTCCTTTGGGGAACTTGCAATCTTAGGAAGCACCGCAAAAATTCCAGTCTTCTGAAGCAAAAAGACTTACACACCTTGCTCCTCTTTCACATTTGTTTCATTTTAACTTTGTTCTCCCCGGCAAGAGCCCTTAGACTCCTATCTCTTTCCTGTCATATCTCTTTCTGCCATCCGCCCACTTATCATTAAATTCCCCTCCTGCCTCCCCACCAGTACCAGAGGGACCCGGAATTTCCCACCCTGTGCCAGGTCACGAGTTCGACCAACGCTGAAGGTCTCCAAACCTGCACATTTAAACTGTATTGTTCGTCGTCTTAGATGTCAAAGACAAAACACGAAGAATCCTACAACAACTCACAAGGGCGCAGGTATGTAAAATGCTCTTCCCACTTTTTGAAGACACTGCTACCCACCACACCCATCTCTCCCTGCCCTCTGTCTGTAAGTCCATAGGAACCACAACTAACTTTGGGCTACGGTGTCAAGTCCCATCCAGACCACTGACTTGCCCTGTGCATCCTCACCCCCAGGCTGATCCTCAGCATTGCTGTCTTGGCCCTGTTATTTTCTCCTTGGCTTCCCAGAACACACCCACCCACCCCAACCCATCACCTCCTTCATCCTCTCCAGGATTTTACCTTGAAGTCAGGAATCGAGAATTTGGTGTTATAAGACAGGTTGGACTTGGAGGTTACGGTGTTCATCCTCTCCAGAGCTTGTAAATTCTCCTGATCACCAGGGGCAGAAATTAACCAAAACTCGGACATGCTTCCCACCTTCTTTTATCCAGTTACTGACCAGAACCACAGCAACATACACAAACAGAAACAGGAGACAAGTGTCAAATTTCTACTCCTTCACCACTCCCTTCCCTCAGAATTAATCCTCTCCAGGATGTGTTGCTTTTCCCATTCTTTGCCCCTTTGACCTTCCAATTCAGATTCTCTAGTTCCAAGGACACCATATGCACAAAGCAACGTGCTGTTTCTTATCTCAACTCTGAAAGCCCTCAGGGCTCCACAAAGACTCCCAAGCCATCCATAGGGTGGTTCTGACCGGTTTTAAGGGTTGGGGGAGGCGGTTGGGGAGAACCAGATTGCTGTCCCTTTAACTTCCCCCTCTCCTGACACCATAATGCAAATGGGGGAGGGGGGCACAGCAAGCCCCGCATGGGGCCCTCTGAAATAGTTTCTTCGTTTCCATGTTGTACTTCCCGGGATGCAGGATGGGGTGAAGGCAGGAATGAGACAAGGAGGCAATTTCACAACAGGGGCTCGGACAAACCCCAGATCTTAACTGACCAACCTTGAGAATGGTGCTAGCCTTAAAAACAGACTTCAGAAGAACTTTATTTTTCCCAAATAAAAAGAAAAAAAGGTGATGGGATGACTACTAAAGTCCTTTTTCCGTAAGACCAGGTGTCCACTCTGCAGAGGTGGGTAACGTGCTGGGCCTGGCAGTGTCTGTCCAGCGTCTGCAGCTTCCAAAGGCGATTAGTTCTGCTCATTCAAACGTGCACACACCCACACCTCTCTCCCCCTCCGCCCGTTCCTCCCTTCCCTGCGCCTCGCAAAGCGCCTCGGACGGCTAGGGGGGAAAACAGGGTGACAGCCAGAGACCCGTCCTGGAAGCTTTGCTTTTTGACTCCCTTAGTCCCTCCCAATCCCGCGCACTACCAACGCAGTTCCTCTCGGTCTCGACTGCTGATGGCCTGGAGACAAACTGGCCCCACGCGCAGAAGCTGGGGAGATGCCACCTGCCCGGCCCCGGGAGGGCGCCGCGGCGGCGCCGGGTCCCCGGTTCCCACGGAGAAAGCGCGGCCCGGGACGGCGTGCGTGGACCGAGGCGAAGCGCGGACCCGGGCGCGC